ACAACTTGGAGGTAATGCACACTTTTGTATTATTAATAGGTTAAACTTGTTGGGAAAGAAGTATTAATCTCGGCAAAAATTGTTTTCTTTTCAAAGTTTAATTAGTTAAAAGGCGAGATTCCAAGTGTCACAAGTCATTATTGTGCAAAAAATATTTTAAAATTGCATAATTACAGTGCAAACGTGATCGAAATCACTGGTACTTAGAATGTTCCGGATTGCATATTTCTGTCATATTCATTTTAAGAACACTGATAAAATTGAGTAAAAGCTAAAATTTTTTTAAAAAAAAACAAAGCACGAGTTTTCATCAATGTTGAAAATTAATACAGGGCGACAGCCTGAAGCTGTGTGTGTACATGATAAATTAAGTTAGATAAATTCTCCATTTTCATTGAAGTATTAGAGGTTCTCTATTGAAAGGGTTAATCAAATAGTGTTATCTTGTGGGGAGCAGTTAGTATTATCAAGGACAATCTTGAAATCCGATTAATGCTGGATGAATTCGGTGAAATATTTGAAAAGCTTATATGCTAACTAAAATCAATATACTTTATGATGACGAATTTCATTTGCCCATGTAGACCTGACTTTAACAAATCTCCCTAAATTTACTTCATTATAAGGATCTGCATTTTAAAACTCAATGTGCAGTATTGGCCACATTGGTAAAATGTTACTTAAAGTATTATAATTATATACATATGATCTGTAAAATCATTTATTAATTTTTTGCCTAACTGAAAAATTAGGTGAGTCAATCATCACTGACATATTTTTGCTTGGGTAAAGCGTTATTTCTTCTCTTCAGTGTTTTAGAAAGAGCTAAAATAATAAATTAATGATAAATTAAATTACCCCCCCCCCTGATTGTTAAGTTATCATGAATTCCTAATTGAATAACTTCGTTAAATCATAAATTATTTCAATGTCAAATATAATTGCACAATCCATGATGACGTTTTTCAGCTGATCCAAATGTTCAAATTAAATTTTAATTACTACACACATAGCAATATCTATAACATTAATATGATCTACTAATTATTATTGATATGAAAATCGAGGTGTTAATAAGACTGATTTAAAAAATTCAGCCCATTTTTTTAATTATTAGTTTATTTCTGAGATTCGGGGTGTGCGATAGACTTACCTCCACGTGGTGCACCCTGGGCAACGTATGCTCATACGGCAAAAAAGTCTATTTATCGGCAGCTGACTTCTGACTTCAAACTACCATGGCCTGACTGCTTGTCATATTCGAGCCCTACACAGTACTCATCTTACTTTTTCTCTATCTTTGTGTTTGTCTGCCTCTTTTACATCTGTGAATCGCTCTTCAGTTCCCCACCCCTCGACTTTCTTCTACTTTGATTAACCTTCCCTCTATGAAGCCCGAAGTCAGCTAAATGGCTAATGATAGCTATCGAAACGCCTGCCATTTGAAATAAATATTTCTGAGATTCCAGTTGACTGAAATGGTTTTAATGAATTTCGTCAACAGGTTGATCAAAGCGGCATTTGATCCATTAAAATAAGCCTGTTTTTTGTAACAATAACGACAGTCACGAATGAAAGTCCTAATTTCATGAATCTATTTACACCGATTTGAAGTTAATTGGAACTCGTTCGAGGTGGAAAAATAATCATTTGAAAATATAGTAGCATAATATATAAACAACTGATATTTGGTGATATTTGATTCGGAAAATTCCGAAAATATGAGAAGCAATATTTGGGAGTAGCTACATATCTAACCGAATAACATATACCGATTAATATTTGC